CAACAATCATCACAACCTTTTTCAATGTATTTATTTGTATGTACATTTTTTAAGGGGATCAGAAAGGGGAATGGTTATATTTTTCTTTGTTGATCATATTTAAATAATAAAAAGCCCATAATGAAATCAAAAGAGAGCCGTGTGAAGTATCTATATATTGAAAGCAGATGATCAGTTGACATGGGTCTTTATAGATAGAATGGATACAAATGTTTTACTGGAAAAGTAAAAATAATCCACACAAGACTGCATCCCAAACCATTCGTTCACACATCCACACCCAGGGTTTAGGAATCTGCTGGATAAATGTTTTTACAGTGAGAGAAGGGGAGAATGAAGCAACTGAACCTGAGTCACATGTTTCCCCTTCCCCGGTCCAAAAAACATAGATGCCAGAAAATCTGGAATTTTTCAAAGTTTTTCGCATCAAGACGCGGAGCAACCTGGTTTCCTGTTCTCCGATGTGCAGGTTTTAACAAGACATTCCCATTTCCTACAGGCAATTCATTTTATTTTTTAAAGCGTCACCACAATTGTGCATTAACCTTCACTACATGTTATATTTAATTGTGAGCACAACAAAGCTCTGTCATCAAGTAATTTGAATCCAAACCCCAATTTTCCCTAGAGCTACATGAAGACTAACCACACCTAAATGTCACATCATGAAAACAGATACATTTCCCAGTGTGGTTTGTGTCTTTTTTTGGAGGGAAAACTCAAATGATGTCATCCTACTGATGAGGCGACGTTTTTTGTTTAATTTGGACGACTTTGAGATAATGATTAGGCCTTGCTTTATTAAAAACTTGGCCAAATAATTTTCATTCAGCCCCTTACCATTCAGAAATTAATTAAGTCAAGTCCAAGGTTGAGATTTATGGTGAAATACACACCCTTGGATGGCGACATTTGTCTGCTTTGAGCCTCGTGCTGAACTGCCTTGAACTGCTGATAAGCCCCTTATTTGTAAATAGCTTTTTCCTTCCAAGAAACATTCCATAGTGGTGACATAATCACTCAGAGGCCCTGTCACCCGCAGAGCGCACTAACAATGACCGCTCCCTGCTTTGACTGAAGAAGTGCATCTCATAAACCACATGGGGAAACATGAATGCATGTGCCGGGTGTGAGCTGGGAAAGTGTTACTCGTCTGACCCGCTCCAGACATTGACTAATGGGTAAAAATAGTAAGTGAGCGCCTCTCAATTACTTCTAAACTGTGTCAATGAGAAGCTATGTAGACAAATGCTACATTACAACGAAGAATACATGTTATAAAAGGAAGAAGAATCTATTTATCTATTTTAAGAAAGAAGAACCGACTGTATTTCATAACAGTTAAGGAAAGAAATGTGTAATAGTAGGTGTGGGGAAGTAAGTAAAGTTTATTTATAAAGCGCTTTTCACAGACAAAGTCACAAAGTGCTTGACAAAACAATAAAACATCATCATAGGAATCGTACAATGATAATGACCACACAAGCCACGTGTTAAGAAGTCATAAAAGCACCAAAACACAATAAAACACAACGAAAACAAAATAAAAACATAGTATAAAATATAATAAAAGCAAGCACACCGGTTACCCAAACACCTGCCCAAACAGGAATGTCTTTAATTAGTTTGAAAGGAGTCAACAGGGTCAGCAGACCGGGCAGAGCGTTCCATAGCTTAGGCGCCACGGCCTCGAACGCTCGATCACCGCAGGTCTGAAGGTGGGTACGTGGGACAGACAGTAAATTGTGCATGTGTGACCTGAGTGGGCGGGCTGATGTATATGGATGAATTAGGTCAGCCATATATGCAGGAGTCTGACCGTGCAATGCTCTGTAGGTGAGAGTGAGGATTTTGAACTGTATCCTATAAGCTACAGGGAGCTTAGTGAAGAGATCTGAGTATTGGGGTAATGTGGGACCGTTTATTTGGGTGAGAAGTCTTGGAGCTGCATTTTGGACTGCCTGCAGATGACCAAGGGCAGACATGCTGAGAGAGGAGAATAATGCGTTATAGTCAATGCGAGATGAAATAAACGCATGTATAATCATTTCTAGGTCGGGTGTTGAAACTACAGATCTCAGTTTACTAATGTTTCGTAGGTGGAAGAAACAAGCTCTCGTCAGTTGCTTAACATGGGTATCAAACGACGCGGATTGGTCAAATATTACCCCTAAGTTACGTAGTTTGGAGTTAGCAGCAGAGGAATATGGTTCAATACTTTTCAAAATCATGGGTGCAACCTTTTCTGGTGCAACAACCAGAACCTCCGTCTTATCAGCATTGAGTTGTAAGAAGTTATCTGTAGTCCAGTCCTTAATAGCACTAAGACATTCTAAGAGCCAAGATATCCTAAAAGCCTCTAGGTTTGAATGAAATGTGGAGCTGGATATCGTCCGCGTATAAGTGATATGTAATGTTAAATCTGTTTATGATCTGTCCTAAGGGTAGCAAATATAGGGAGAATAACAGAGGCCCCAAGACCGAGCCCTGCGGGACACCATAGGACAGTGGAGAGGAGTCTGACACAAAGTCTCCAATCGAGACGGTGAAACTTCTGTCAGCAAGATATGATGCAAACCAGTCTAGAGCTATGCCAGATATGCCCACAGTCACGTAACCTCTTGATCAGGATATGGTGGTCTACAGTGTCAAACGTAGAACAATAGGTCAAGAAGTACTAACACAGAGCAATTACCCACATCAGAAGCCATCAGGATGTCGTTAGAAACCCTCAGGAGAGCCGTTTCAGTGGAGTGCTTTTTCCGAAACCCCGACTGGAATTTATCATAAATATTGTGCCTCTCCAATGCAGCATTGAGTTGGTTGGCCACAACCTTCTCTAGAACTTTTGACAGAAAGGGTAGTTTTGATATAGGCCTGTAGTTCACGGGCAGATCTAAGTTAGTTTTCGTTAATATGGGCTGAATAGTGGCATGCTTAAAATAGGAAGAGACCCATCCTGTAGACAAGGAAGTATTAATAATGGCTGATACAGCACTGCCAATGGTTGGTAAAACTTAAAAATAGGGAATTCTCCTAATCAAATCCATCAGGTCTTGTGAGTTGATAGGTTGGAAGGAGCCAAGAACAGAATGGGATGGATAGGGGCTAGAGTTGGGCAATGAAGTCCCAGGATGAATACTGGACCTAATAGATGCTACGTACCTTATCTACAAAGAAGATAAGGAACGTGTTGCAGTCATCTTTCGAAAGACATGGTATTGGTGGTGAAACAATATTATTAATTGTGTCATATAGCATATTGGGATTTTTTTGTTGTTGAAGAAATTAACTAACTTAGCAAAGTAAGCAGTCCGGGCTTCTTTTAATAATGCATTAAAATAATATCTTTGAGATATAGGCGATGCACTTCCAGCCCAGTGGTTTTCCATAGTCGTTCTGTCCTGCGACACCTCCGCCTCAGGCAGCAGACAGCTTCTGTTATCCATGGAAGTGTTGCAGATAGCTCTCCTATCCTTTAGCGGTGCCACTTTGTCAGCAACGTGGAGCAATGCTGATTAAAAGACTGTATTAAAATATTTACATCATTCATATTAGTGTTATTATCACAGCAAAAGTGAGCTGTGAACTGATCAGCTAACAGTGCTAGTGGAGCCTCGCAGCGGCGAAACTGTGCCGCACCTACACTAATTGCGCCGCATAAGCGCATAGGTGTGCCACTCAGTTGAGGCTTGACTAATGAGGGTCAAGAAGTCATAAACTTTGAATCAACATTTCTCAGTATTGGGGGGATTGGCAGTGTTTTCTCTTCACTTCTTCTACAGTCAAACTAATGGTGAAGTCTGAGTGTTTCTTCCACCTCAAACACCTAAGTAGCCTATACATCCAAATGGGAATGTCGTAACCCTGGTTGAAACAAAGCGCACATTGCATTTCAACGTGACTAGGAAAAGTACAGAGTAAACTAAACGAGAATGTGTCACACTTAGGTAGAATGAGAAATGCCCACTATTGCCAAGATCTTTGACCTATAGGCTACTTCTCGCTCTGAAGGAGAAGGGAGGAAACAGAGTTAGGGTTAGGGTTAGGTTGAGAGCAGGAGGAAAACAGGGCATTACTATACCAGGGTAAGAAAGTATTAACAATCATAATTACATTTGTATAGCCTCAATTTAACCGGCTGTTTTTCAGAGGTGGGAGAAGTACACAGATCTTGTACTTAAAAGTAGAAGTACCAGAGTGTATGAATACTCTGTTACAAGTAAAAGTCCTGCGTTCAAAATGTGCCTCAAGTAAAAGTAGTTATTTTTTACACTTTAAGTATATTTTGCTTATAATACTTTTGTACTCAAGGACAATTTTAAATGTCATTTCAAAAGTAATTTAAAATGTAAATGTATATACACTATTAACCTCTGAATTGTAGTAGAAGTACAAAGCAGCAAAAAGTGGAAATACTCAATTTAAGTACAAGTCTCTCAAAATTAAATGTACAGTAAATGTTATTTACACCCAAGTGACTACTGTAAGTACACTACTTATGTACAATTGTGTACTGTCTTGTACTTTATTTGTCCACATGTATTTAATACCTTTAGTTGCTTTGTAAATTTGGATTCATAATGTGAAATATAAACAACACTTATAAGATTTTAGTTACACCTGGATTAACATTCACAAGCAGTATACAAAGTGATTAAAATAAGTCACCACACTTTACCATCATTGATACAACACAATAATGCATAAAAAAAAGCCTACTAAAACATATAATACATATTATTCTGAAACGGGCCAATCTGCATTTATAACGAGTTCTGGTTCTTTAAGTATGAATGCTAATACTTTTACTTGAGTAACATTTTGAATACAAGGCTTTTTTTCTGTTTAAATACTCATCCTTTGTGTATTGCATCAATGCTCAGTATTGTATCTTGTGTTCGGTTATCGCGTTGTTTACATGTACGTGCTGACTGTTTTTAAAAAGGGAGACCACGTGACTAACTGCTCCAGTAGTAGGACGTCCCCGCGGTCTCGTGAGCACTTACTATACAGTACAGACAAGTCTTAGATAAGACGAGAAGGACCCTCCCGTGGGCAGTGGCTCCCTTCAACGTGACTCTGTTTTCAAGGAGCTGTCAGAAAAGACATCTCATTCCTCTGGATAAACTGTGACGAGTTTGTGGACGAAACTATTGAATACTTTGAGATATTGACGCGAATGGTAAGAGGGACATTTACGCTTTCTTGTTTTTATGTTACGTTATTCTTTCACGTATTCGGCTTTGGGTTTATTTTGTACTTGTTATATAAAGATTTGAACTAAAACGTATGGAGTTTTAGTTGTTCTTAAGCGCTAGCAGTCACATGTCAATATTTTGAGACGGTAACGTACGTGTTATTGACTTTATGTTACATTATCCTTATTTGGGTTTATTTTGTATTTGTGAGAGAGTCATTTGAACTGAAAAGTGTGTAGTTTTAGTAGATTTTAACCGCTTTGGCAGTCGTTGTACACATTTTAATACGTTGAGACGGTAATGTACGTTTTATTGACTTTATATTACATTATTATTTCACTCATTCTTATTTTGGTCTATTTTGTATTTGTTATGTAGCCTATACATTTGAACAAAAATGGTTGTAGTTTTTCTTTAACGGTATCGCTTTGGCGGTCGTTAGTACACATTTTTAATACTTTAAGATATTGACGCGGATGGTAAGACGGAGGAATACGGCTTTACATTACATTATTATTTTACGTCTTCTTCTTTAGGTTCATTTTTTATACATTTGACCCAAAATGTATGCGGTTTTGGTAGATTTTAAACGGCAGACGGTAGTACCCAATTTGGATAGCCAATGCTCGTGTTAACGTTTTTAATGCTTTGTTGCTGGTTATATTGAAATCATTATTTTGTTAGTGTGTTAGTGATATGAGTGTTGGGGTGCAGGGTGTCGGTCGCATCTCACACACATCCGCAGCAGGGAATCTAACTGCGTCACCAAGATATTTCTCGACAGTTTAGTCACATTACAAAGCCTTCAAGTGAAATATCCGGTGGTATTTTGTTCAATATTGCACCATAATACTTTGTGGCTGCAGAAATATTTGGTGCATTTAAATGTTGTTTTTCTGTAAGTGGGGACACCGAGCAATAACCTGATCTCCAAACCGCGTCCTCCTTTTTCGACACAAACAACAACTTTCACGCGGAGAGAGCAGGGCTGTAGTTACAAGAAAACACTTGTGGTTTTGTGTTGCTACATCAAGTATTTTTCCTATTCATCCATGTGTAAAGGTTGAACAAGTATAAGACATGGTAAAATGACAGGCTGTTTGACTTGTGAAAGTGCTTTAGAGCTGTATTTTGTTGGTGTCAAACACTTGTCCAACGCTTTTTGTGTACTTAGTTAAGCAAGCCAACAAAGGCTTTCCAATTATTTGTATTTCTGTAAAATATATATTTGGTGCAGGGCTGATTCAACCCACAATAGGACCCCTCCTTTAGCATCCCACTTTCCTTATCCACAAGTTACTTTGTGCAGATTTGATGAGATGGAAATATATTGAGGTGAATGCACATACAGTCTATCTATGAACCATATAATTGTCAATATCAACTGAAATGTTTTACTACAATGCTTGGGCAAATGGTCTTTAAGTGAAAAAAAAAGCATTTGTGTTCCTAATTCTGGACCAGTAGTATGCAACAATTACTATCAGGAAAATACACATGTTACGCCTTATATAGTGTAATCTTCTATCAGCAGCAGAACCATATATCTCTCAGCCCTAAAGCCCATCCCATACAACACATATCTTCCTTTGCTGGCTACGCACAGCTGATAGAAGTACTGACACGCACAGAGGGATGTGGTTATCTTCCACCTACATGAAAAACTCACTATAGGCTGTAGGTGTTATAAGGCCAAGCTGGTAAAGCATGCTAAAAATCCATCTCTGAAGAGAAAGCATGGCTCTAATTGCATTTTAGATGCAGATAGCAGCTGGGGAATGTGGGAAACATTCCTCACACGAAGCCCATATGGGATTTGTGTCTGTGTGTGTGACCTGCAGACCTTAACAGTGGACCTTTGACTGGCCGACACCAGAGCAGGTGGAGAATCAGGTCCTCTGACACGGCAGGGCAGTGGATTCTGCTGGAGATGTATTTGGTGTTGGTTCAGTTACCTGTTGCTGGAGGAGTAATTACTCAGCAGGTTAGGGCACATGTGTATTTGATCACATAAAACACAAGAGGGCTGGTGTGTCGGGGGGGTTTGGGCACTTAATAGCTTGTGTGTTTGGAAGTCATCTATGGCAGTAAAAAAAAACAGATCACAACGCAATAAAACTCAGCAGGCCTCACACTCAACCTCTGACCTTCCTGTCACGCAGGGACATGACGATGGACTCTCCATCAACACCATCAGCAGGACCGGCATCTAACACAGGACTTTCCCGCCTGGGGGGCATTGAAGACTTGACATTAAAGATGGGGCCGTCACGAAGGAACCTCTTCGGGCCCGTGGACCACCAGCAGCTGCAGCAGGACTTCCAGCGGCTGCTCTCGGTTAACCTGGAGGTGGCAAACAAGCGCTGGAACTTCAATTTCCAGAGCGATATGCCGGGAGAGGAGTCCACCATCCAGTGGGAGTCGCTCAGGTACCAGGAAGTGCCGGTGTTTTACCACGGCTGCACGGTTAGGTCGGTGCCGCATCCAGTGGGGAAAAGACGGACATTGTCTTCGTCAAGCGAGGCGTCCCCGGGGTCCAGCAGCTCGTCCGGGTGTGGGGACGAGTATCTGGAGGTGTCCACAAGGGAGTACTACCGGATCCAACGGCAAAGAAAACGGAGACAGTCTACCATCACAGGTTAGTCCACCAAATGCTTTAAATACAGCAATCGCAATTTTGGTATACTTACTCTTTTTCTTGCCATGAGTTGAAGTCCAACTGTTCCTTGGCATTATGCAAAGTGACAAGCAGCAGATGTTGTGCAATGCAGCAAATCTATTTCCCCTGACTTTGCATTGTTTTCTTTCCCTCTACAGATTTCTTCAAAGTGAAGAAGACGAAGTTCCTGCATTACAAAGGTTCTTCTCGGCAGTAGAAACGCACACATCGAACCAATGGACGATCACCTAGTGGTCGACATCCGTCTACATTGATATGTGTCATGTCATATGTATATTTATGTAGCAATTTGTGACTGACTGTTCACAAGCTCATTCAGCGCGGGCTTTAAAACTTCTCTGACAACATATACCTTAGATTTCAGCAAAAGGAAGCTACCATTTTTATAGTTCATCAAGCTCAGACGGTTTTGTAGATAATTCTAAATGTTCTATGTATTCTGTATACTGTTTTCCTCATCTTTATACTGTGAAACCTATTTGAGTGCACTCTAACAACATAACACAGGCTCTAGTTTTGAGAGGTTAATTTTCTTCTGAATGGGCCTTGGATTTTGACCTCAGTCCTTGACCTTTTTCTCGCTCTTGCTAAAAGTCACAAGAGGTTTTGATTAGCCGAGTTACTATTCCTGGCCTCGTGCCACACTTAGCCTTTCAGTCTCACCCCGGGGCTGCGATAGCACGAGTCGAGCCAGGGGTCAAAACCTCACCCAGGGCTCAAAATCTGGCAGCCGACTGTGATTAGCTGCAGGGCAAAGGTCAGAGCTGGAGGTTTAGCTATGAGCTAATGCGGCCGTCGCTGTACAACAGTGACTTAAATAGCTATTTGATTATTTATTTATTATTCGCAATGCTAAATTGTAAAAAAAAAAACACCGTAGAAACAAAAAAGTAGACATGCAATGTATTAAATGAGATTAGACAAGGTGTTTTTTAATTATTTTTTTAAATATTTGTTACTTTTATTGTCATTACACAGTAGGCCTACAGTACTTACTATGTAACAAAATGGTTTCTCTGCATTTGACCCATCCTAGTGTTAGGAGTTTGTGGAATCCTGTGCCATTAGTGCCCCACAAAGTTATGAGTTGTTGCCACTTACTAATACTGGCCGTTTATATTTAAAACCATCACAACAAAACATAATAACTGCTAATCATATTAGCTTTCTGCTTTGCATTGTTGCATAATGGGCTGGTCAAATCTTATGGCAGCAGACCAAAACATACCTATAACTGATTGTGTACGAGTGTTTCGGTTTGGTGTGAATCTTGAGGTTTGTAGCAGCTGAGGCAGATAAAACCAAAGACGAATTGCTGTGCCATTAAATTAGAAACATTTATACAGGTCGCTCATCGGTCATAGAGGGTCTCAAACAAGTCCTGGGCTTTAAATGAGATGTGTTCCTACAGTCGTTTTAATTTGTTAATGGAAAACAAGCCATAATCAGGATTAATCCATTCCTACTACCTCATGAATTCAGTGAAACAAACAAATGTCATTTAAATGAAAGAAAACTAAACCAATGCAGCTCGGGGTTGTTTTCGTCTGCAGGCGAAAGAGAGACAGAAACCAGGGGGGGGGTCTATTATTTTGTTGTGGTAAAAGCTGTCGAGGTTCAGCGCTCAGTGTAGGGTTTCACATCATGTAAAAGAGTCAGTGTGTCAGAGAGGGGCCCCGCTCTGAGCTGAGGAAACTAGGGTCCCTCAGGAGGAGGAGGGTGGGAGGAGGCAGCTATTGTTGTCTCTCCCTTCCTTTGCTCCCACATAAATAAAGCAGAGGACTATTCAAGGGGGGGAAAGGGACAAGCTTTAATAAGGGAACCTTCACCAGAAAGTGTTCAGACCCCTTCATGGATCGAGGGATTCCCCCAGCCAGTCAAGTGGGCGCGACTCACACACTCTTTTGTTTATCTCAGTCCTCCGTCAGGAATCAACCCCCTCAGTCGGCCAAAGACTGTCATTAAAGCAGTTGCTCATAAATCTGTTACTCCTATAAGGCGCTGTTCCCCAGATCTAAAGATAGCAAACATGGCTTTTTGAAATGATTTGATAATTTACAGGATTTCTTTGTCAATGTATCGGTGTGTTTGTGTGTGTAAGAGAATGTGTGCACCAGACGGAACTTTAAAAAATCTATATTAACTTATGAGTTATGTTTGCGGTATAACTAATTGTGTCTTCCGGACCTATATATTTGCACTACTTTAAAACATTGTTGACAAGTTCATTTAAAAAAGGAAAACAACTTGTCCCTGAGACTGAGAACAGGTTGTACATTTTGTTTTAACAGTTTTTCACATTGAGAATAGTTGGCAGCATTGTTGGTGTTTCTTAAGTCTGTTTGGTGGGAAAACTCAATTAAAAAACCTGATTCGATAAAGTGTCAAGATTGATCAGTGTCTCGTTGTGCCCAAGAAAACTTCCCTTTTCAAAATCACGTGACGCAGCTATATCGAAGTGTAGCCTTATTTGTTTTTGTATATGAATGAATGTATGATAATCCAACTTTTGTAATCATTGTATTATATTTTAATGCTGGTTTTTGCTCCCTTTCAACATGTAAGAAGTGTATTTGTGTAGGATCATATCCTTTTTGATAATAATTGTAAAGATGTATTGCTGGCTTGTTGGTGCTTTGTAAAATGCCTTTAAAATGTGTCGATTTGATATAGCGTGCTCTAAATAATAAAATGAATGAATGAGATTCATATAAACTACAAAAAGCTGGTCTGAAGTTTTTGTTTCCACTATGGTTTTAGTTGATAGGCATGGATGTATTACTAAGAGCAGTTTATTCACTTATAGCGACCCCTGGTGGACTGCAGTGACATTGCACACAGTCAATTACCTGGGAATATACCAAAAAACCCTAAAAGAAAACAATAGAACAAAATTAATTAAAAAAAATCCCCCCATTTGTATTTTATCTGACATATTTTATACATTACTCACAATTTACAAAATGTAATTTGCATTTATTTAAAATGAAAATTTGCATTGACATCAGTTAAAAGTTGAAACGTACACATAAATAAAGATAAAACAAAAAGACACCACAGATAGTGTAACACATTCCACATGGGTTTCAATTTACATTCTTTTACACAAGGTCAAGACTCATTTTTAGCTCCGGGCTCTTGGTTTAGTGCGAGGAACACGTCTCACATCACAGATGATGGCACGAAGAAGCCCTGATGTCAACGTTTCCACATGTTAAAAGCACTTCAAGTGGTTATAAGCAGGGGAGAAAACTACTTGGTTCTTCTGTTAACTATAAAATCACAAATTAAAGTCTCTTTTTTACAGATTTCAACCAAAATCATCTTGCTTAAAAATGAAGGCTGGTTTTTGACACTGCTAAGACATTAACTCGCATAAAGCTGGTGTTTCATGAAAGTGTCCCCACTCAAACTTAGACATAATTAAGTATTTTACCTTCAAAATGTAATAAATCGGTTCAAACATAGATTCCCATTCCCCCAACAAACGTGCAACTTCACACAAGAAACAAATTGTGTTTTTTCTAAAATGTCAGTATGCAGTTCACACCGAAATGTGCAATAGGCATGCTACACTGTAAACTAAATGTGAGACGTGGGTCTTTCTACAGAATTGTGTTTCTGTCAGTTAAAAGGTTGTTTGTGAAAGTGTTTTTTTAAAACAACTGCGTGTGACGTAAGACACTGAAACTTAAAAAAGGAATAAGCATATATCAATCCCTGACTGACATATATTATAAAGAGAAATGAAAGAACCAGTCCCCTTATACAGTAACCTGATTACACTAAACTGTACACAAGAGAAATCAAAGCTTCCCAAAACCCTGCTAAGGTCTGAGTGGTTCATTCAAATCTTTAAGACTTATTACTGGACTACAGTGCAATATTATTCATCTGGACCAAAAATATCATACATATCTACAAAAGCTCAATTTATACATTACAATTATTACTCACATTCTTCAGGCAACTGAAAGTCTCAGAGGGCTTGATCTTAACTAAAGAACTTCTTATCTAAAATGCCAATCTTATTTTTACATCCATTTAAATCCTTAAATATGTACAGTAGTAGTGTGATGGTGCAGATTGGACGGCAAAGTCCATTTTAAAAGTATATTCTTTTAAAACCAGCATTCAGTTTAAACTTCATATCTTTGTTTTCACACTAAAATAATTGAGCATTTACACTTTTAGGCTTCTAGTGACAGGATAAGACTGCAGTGTTGTGCTCTGTGGCGGCGCCCATGGGTGTGGACCGTTCTGGCCACCAATTTTTCCATCTCCCAAAACTCACCTAAAATGAGCAGTTTGTGAGCTGCGTTGTCACTCGATAAGAGTAGCTTACAGCTGACAGGATGATGGAGCGTTCACAGCTGGCGACGCAGCGCTTGTCTTTCTCTCCACATCTCACGCACCTCTTTGTGGAGCAAAGGAGTGATGAACACAATGCTGCCCGCCGTCTGTAGCAGGAAATAAAAGGAAAGTTACACAAGGGTTTGCAAGAGGACACACTACAACAACACAGTAAAGAAAAGTGATGAACAATGGGCAAAACTAATTGGTTTATAAGCCCGAAATTTAAAGTCACATTAATATAGTAAGTAAGAATTGGCAAAACAAAGTAATATTCATGCCAATATATTGTAAAAACAGACACCTGTAGGATGGGCATTTTCAACAACCGACATTTTGAAAAGCACAGGTGTTACTAACGATGGCTCTGCTTTGAAGTGCACAGGTGTTACTAACGATGGCTCTGCTTTGAAGTGCACAGGTGTTACTAACGATGGCTCTGCTTTGAAGTGCACAGGTGTTACTAACGATACTAACGATGGCTCTGCTTTTGGGACGGGTGGCGCAGTGGTCTGTGCATCCGATCATCAGATCAAGGGGGAGTGCTGGGGAACTCCAGTTCGAAACCCGCTCCTGCCGCCACTGCGTCAGGCCGTTGTGTCCTTGGGCAAGACACTTCACCCGGATTTGCTCCTGTGGGTATTGTCCACAGTACATGTATGATATCAATGTGTACTTGTAAAAGCGCCTCGATGACTTAGAGGCGTGAAGATGGACGGTGTGGCGCAGTGCGCTGTGCAATGATCATCAGATCAAGGGGTGAAACCCACCGCCAAGCCGTTGTGTCCTTGGGCAAGACACTTCACCTGAACTTGCTCCTGTGGGTATTGTCCACAGTACATGACCATTGCATGTATGATACGTGTAATGTGTATTTGTAAAGCGCTTTGAGCATCTGGAAAAGCGCTATAATAAATGTAAGGAATTATTTGAAGTGCACAGGTGTTACTAACGATGGCTCTGCTTTGAAGTGCACAGGTGTTACTTACTAACGATACTAACGATGGCTGTGTTCATTAACGACCCTTATCATCTACACCTGTGCTTTCCCTACTGTGGAAATGTCTTCAGTTAAAAGGACTGCTGTGATAGGTGGACACTATCTCACCATGGCGATGAAGAAGTAGAAGACTTGAATCCAGCCCAGCTTGCTCTCTATCAGCGACACGAGGTACTGCAGGATGACAGAGATTACATGTATATAAAACAAGGAGTGTGCTAGTAGGAGGACATAACATTAACAACTCAAATAAGTTAGAAAAATGTATTAAGGAACCTTAATAAAGAACAGTTTAAAATAACCGTAGAAAATACCATAACACTCTCTGAAATGGGCAAAGACCGTAGTTAAAACAACTACATTGAGAAATGCAAGGTCTTCCAGTGTATAGATTACAAAACAAACATTTTTAAATGTATTTAACTACAAAAATAAACTAAAGAAAACGTATGGTTATAAAGATGGATAAATACATGTTGAATCAATTCTGAACTATTTGATACATGGACAATTAAAATGTACAAATAAATTGAGATAGAAAAATGTATTAGATGACTTTAAATATATTGGCTCTTTTTTGGGATGGACTGAAGCAGCAGGGTAAATGTGGCTTAACAACATGATGGAACAACATTGAACAGCTTTACCTGTTATTACACCTGGTCATTTCCTGATGATTTAATGCCCTTGTTTGTAGAGCAAAGAGTTTTATTCTGTAGTATTTTTTGCTTACCTGTCCCGCAGCGGCTCCTATACTTCCTGTCCCGTCCACTATGCCGGTGACTGTAGCCAAAGCCTTCTGACTCCCCCTCAAAGCGTCCTGCCTCCCCAGGTCAGCAGAGATGGCGGAGCTGATCATATTAGATGGACCGCCAATGAAGAAGCCCGTAGTTGTCAACAGCGCGGCGTTTATTACCTGGTCATTAGGTGAGTCTGAGGAGCACAGAGAGTGAGAAAGAGAGTAGAAGTGTCATACTGTGGCCGATATTGTGGTATTGACACAATCATGCTCATCAACGAATCGTAAACCCTGTACTCACGGCTGTATCCCACCAGGGATGCCATGGCCAGCACCAGACTGAGGGCCAAAACCGGGGATCTCTTGCCCATCAAGTCAGAAATCAAACCCTGAATCGTCCCTCCTGAAACAAAGACAAAAAGACAGTATTATTTTACTCAAATAATTATTTGACCTGTACAATTAGTAAACGGTAATACTGTAGACTAGTCACTGTTTTCGACTTCCTTTATCAGAGAATCTTACTCATATTTTAAACCCAAAAACCACTTAAACATTAATTTGTATTATAGTAATGCTTAAATAATTTTGGGTGATATTGACTCTGACTTTCCCGCCATAAAACTTTGAATTACTTTGTCATAAAAATGTCATACATTTTTAAGAAAGGACCCAGGTACATCATTTGTTTAATGAACTCCAATTGTGTGCTATCTACGTGTCAAATAATCGAATGGAGCATCATTAAATCTGTTATGACAAAATGTAAAGAATATATATCTTAAAAACTCAAATGTTTATTGAACGATTAAATAAACAATGGGGAGAAAAATGCAGATTCTCCTGCTGCTCACCGAGGATTCCTCCGACATCGTACCACACAGACAGGCGGTCAGAATCGGCCTCCTTCCAGCCAAAGTTGTTGGTCAGGTAGAAAGGGAGCCAGAAGAAGAAGGAGTAGTTGACCAGCTTCAGACACGCATACGCCAGGGAATACTGCAGGACAAACAGACCAGGAGAGTCAACAGCTTGTTCGTTTAAAAGCTTATTGTAAAAAATCCTTTAGTTGGGAGTTGTCTACTCACCGGCAGCACTCCAGGCAGACAGAAGGCCTGGCAGAAGGTCACGGGGAGAGGGGCCTCAGCCAGAGGATCCTCCGGCTCCTGAATCGAGTGGTAATGTCTGTCGTACACCTCCACCTCGGCGGCGTCCTCCTCCTCCTCGTCGCTCATCAGAGGCCGGTGGCTGTCCGTGTCCGTCTTCACCGGACTCAGGCCAGTCTCTGCCTCCAAGCTCAAACCTGACACACACATACAAATGGTGTCAATCGAGATCTTAAATGCGTTATGGTTTCCAAATAAATCGCGTATAGGTTCAGGACCCTAATATACACACATTCAGGATGTGGAGATTGCCTAAGATCAATCGTTTTAGGCAACAAAAGACCAAGTTCGGGATATATCAAGTGAGGTGAAAACGCACATAAAAAGGAATTAAGAGGAATTTCATCGAGAATACGGTCACTGACTGGAGCATCATTTTTTGGTAATGTTTGTACACTAACAATACACGTTGTTCTGACATGTTCCTCGCAGTCCTTACCGACTTCTTTCGGGGAGGTCAGCAGGCCGAAGAACACCACCACCCCACCGGCAAACTGCACCACCGAGGTCACCAAGAAGGCGTACTGAACACAGCAACACATCATGTTAACTTCTGGTTTCTGAGAATAGGCATTGTTAAATGTGTGGCGATGGAATTTATTTATTTGTGCACCTGCTACTGGTTTCAAATGTGTTTCTTACCTCGTATCCATACTTGAGCACGCTAGAAGCCAGGAAAGCCCCCAGTATGTTTCCTACAGAGGCACAGGCACTCCACAGGCCAAACACAAAGCCACGGCTGGAAGACAATATCATGGATTCAATTAGAAATAAATATGTACAAGTATTTTTTTTAAACGCCTCTGGTTACATTACACTTAAACTTCAACCATTGCACTAAACTCCACGAACAGCTCAGTGACTTGCTATCTTTCATTTGAGCAAATAAGGACTACTGAAGGTAAAGTGTGTCTAAATGACGTCTAAGTTTAGGTAGCGGCACCAGTAAATGGATGTCTTTGTGTAATGTGTTTCGGTGTGTGGGTGTGTATCATAAAGCTCTACTTGAGAGACTGGAACTCCAGGCTAGATACTTCTAAATAGATAGATACTTTATTCATCCTAAATGTTGTCCGAGCAGCAGTGTTGTTAAGTATTACACACGAGTGAAACATATTTAAAAGATAGAATAAGATACAAATATAAAATTAAACATTTGAATTAACAGCAAAAAAATACAAAATTACAATAGAAAATATATCACTAGAGTATCTATCCATCTAGAAAACAGAAATATACAGGAACATATTGACATTGGCCTAGGCTGGATAGATGTTGCAGATGTAATTCCTGAACAAATATCAGATAAATGCAGGTTTAGTAAACAGACGCACCCCGCCTTGCCGAACCAGTTCCCCATGACGGCCACCACGCAGGGCCACACAGCGGACTGCAGCAGGCCGTTCAGCACCCACAGCCCACAGTACAGATACACGTTGTAGATCTTGAGCCATTCGGTGAGAGTGCCAAACACAAACTCCTGCAGACACACAGTTAAGCGTTTCATACAACTTCAGTGTATTTACAAAACGTGTTGACGGATCTTTGATATTCAATTAAACGCACGATATATGTTCTAATCTAATGGAAGCCCTGTTCAAAACAAATAGACCCAGTGTTTAAAACTGATTAATGGGGCTCTATTTCGCTCATTTTCAATTTCATAGTTGTGTTTTGTGCCTCTACCATGACATGTTTACATGCTTTTATGTTCAAAAAGTGCTTAATTTTCAAGGGAAAACCCCAATAAGAATAATAGGGGCCCTGTAAGACACTAAATAAAGCAGTTTCACATCAATATACAGTGTTTGTCCAAAGCTCTCTGTCTGTCGCTAGCAGTTTCTTAGCTTTTTCTCTGATGACTTAAAGGTCCCATGACATTTCTACTGATCATTATTCCATTGTTGAGGTCTACTAGAATAGATTTACATTGTGCAATTTTCCAAACTCACATTGGTTTCTCGTATAGTATGTGTATTCACTCTCTGTCCTAAACGGCTTGTTGGAGCTCCTGCCCCCCCCTCCCCCCTCCCTGTGAGCCCACTGTGCTCTGATTGGTCAGCTCGCCCACTCTGTTCTGATGAGTCCACCACCGTTACAGTGGAACATCGGTGATTATGTGTTACCATGGCGTTAGCAACCAGAAAATGACACCAGTAAGGACAAACAGATGAGAATGCTGCGTGGGGTCTGGGTGCCGTGTTGGCGGGACGTTGCGGGGCTCGCTGCTCCGCCCTTTGAGGCTCGAGGAGCGGCCAGTGTGAGCTGGATTACTGGTGTCATTTCCTGCGTGGGGTCTGCGAGACAGCGAGACACCACGGAACTCAGCCTGAGCACACACATACACTCACAGCCAGGCTGTTTGCCACACACTCACACCCTGAGAAAAGATAAGGCTGAGTGTGTGTGTGTGAGGAGCTCCACGGATTGGTCCATTTGGACCTGGGCATGGTTACGTCACCATACTCAGGAAGAAAACAATGGAAAAAGAGAAAATGTCCAACGAGGCGTTCTGGGGCAGCATAGACAGGTATTTTCTGTGTTAGAGTTTTACTCGCTACAGGGTGTACTTTGAGGGTTTGTGACTCTGCAGACCGTTTACATGCATACAAAGCTACATAACACACAAGGGGACGGGTAATAACCGGAAAAGCATGACATGGGACCTTTAAAATCCAGATGTCCGACGTCTTAAAACCTTCATCCAGTTAAAATCCATCCTTATCTTAAAAGTATGTTTGAATGGATTAAAAGATATTAAAAACAGCGCTGATGCATGCTCAAAGGGGATATAATAGAATAAGGTAACCAAATTAAAGGAGAGTTTCCTTGATTAAAATAACAGATTTCTCTTTAGAAGTGTAGGATAATGTTACTCAATAAAAACATACAACCTAGGTGGGTGTAGTACTTTTTTTGACATAGGAAACTATAAATGAATAGTAGCAGAATGTACCTCTTGACACTCACAAGAAGACATCATTAAGGATAACACACATTGAAACACACAGCATGTACACACCACTGCAGCAGAGCCACACAGGCCGACGCAGAGCACGTAGCGCAGGTTCACTCTGTCCCCAATCACACCGCTGAAATACAGACCCTGCGTGGACAACATAAAGTTAGGCAAATGACAAAAAGATATCTGTTTCAGTTGTTTAAAACATGTGTTAAAATCGTGTACTCCACTCACCACTGCGTATGAGAAGAGGAAGATGGTGTCCAGAGCTCCCAGGAACAGAGTGGCCTGCTCTTTATCTGCAAACAGATGATTGCCCTCCCATGTCTGGAACAGTCAGAGAAAAACAGTTTGTTACACATGCAGGGTGTTTATGTGTTAAGGCAGTGTTTCTCAAACTTTTTCATACCAAGGACCACTTAACCAATAAAAAAACACTCGCGGACCACCTAACTCCACAAATATCCAAAAACACATCGTTTTTTTACAAATCGCCTGAAAATTGTACACACAAGTGGCCACATGTGTGATGAAGGTGCTTATCTGGGCTATATCATGCAATCAAAAGTGAAACTTTCCATTGCGGAGATATTCCCGCGAGAGTGCGAAAAACTTAAATAAATGTATTTATTTCAAATGTGAAATGTTACCAATATACTCACGGACCACCAGTGGTCCGCAGACCACACTTTGAGAAGCACTGTTTAAGGGCTCTAACGCGGCTCTGTTCTACTGGTACCTTGCCGGGAGAAAAAGCTGCTGCGCTGTCATTTGTAAAAGTTGGCGTCCACTGAGCGGAGATGCTGACTTTCACATTGCTGAACGTCTTCCTGGAGGCATGGAGCAGCACATAGCTGGAGAAACAGAGAACAGTTTGAATCAACAGGGATTTGATTGAGATTTGTTTAAACGTTCCACGTAGAATGAACCGGTCAAAGTTCATATTTAAGCTGGAGGCGATGCTGTTTAACATCAGTTGAAAAGTGTCAATTATTCACGTATGAATTATACCATCACTCACTATAATCTGTACTATGACCACTAGAAGTCTTAGGCTACATCCAGAATGTTACATTCCAAAGAAGTATCAGTGTAATTCTCCAGAAAGACTTTGCAGGAAACGATGGAATTCCCCATCTAAAACAGAAACAGGAAGTGGCTGAAATCACGGGACTGTGTGCGGCTAGCTGTTGCACACGGCACTTTGCTTTGCTCCTGATAGTGTTTGGACACGGCTGCAGACATGTGACACCACGTCTACTGTAATCAAAGATTAACAGCACTGACTGGAATAAACACACAGCATGGAATTTACTCAGTGGCCATACAAATGATTTTTATCCTCGTCTGTTTAACATTGCAAAACATTCTTTATTTACAGGGTTATAGAAAATGTGTGTGGGAGAGAAACTCCCAACTTTGGGATTTTAGCCTTTGCAGATCATTTTCATAGAGAAAACCTATATAACACACTATAGGAAAGAGAAAAGCCCCAAAAGCATTACAGGGCCTCTTTGAGACCCCCCAAAATTGGTCAAGTACCCCTTTTTAGTGGAAATCATTACTTATTGTCCTTGTTATCTTGACCTCGTCTGACCTGGGTTAGCTTTGTCTTATAAACCTTTCACCTACATGTATATCTCATCCATACACAGTGTACCCTCTTCATCAACCCCACTACTTTCTTGGGGTTCAAAAACGAATCCCCCCCCCCCCCATCTATATCCAGTGACCGCTTGAGCCAATCTATTCATTATTGGGTTTCCAGTTACTCTGAAGACATGCAGGGTGAACGGAAATATGGATACAGCAGGTTTTTAAGGGAAGACTTTAAGGATAACCTGGATTACCTAAAGAAGGTGAGGAGGAAGGCAACCAGATGGTGATGAGTGTACTGTGACAGGCAGCCACAGCACGAGGGAGGCATCACAGGGGGGGAGAAGAGGAGGAGGTGGAGGACGGGGAAGGAGGAAGTGGTGGAGGTCTTCAGGGGGAACAGCAACAGGGAAGGGAACGGGTTCAGCTATAGAGTCCCGCTACGGCAGATGGTACAAGCACATCACTAGGGGAACAACAAAGAAAAGAAGGAATTGGAAACCATTGTTGAATTGTGTATTATATTTCATACAGAATACTAACTGCAGACATTTTGTATTAGTCCTTAGATGAATAACTGAGGACACAACAATTATTACAAGAGAAAATAAAAAGGATATGCATGAAGTAACACCTGATTTACAATCACCAAACATCCCAGGTTCAAAGCAGCTGACAACAGATTTAAAAAATGTTCCAAAGTTAGGGAGTACTGAATTTGTACCCGATTTGACCAATCCTTGGTGAGTCTGAGATGCTAGCTCGTAGAAGGTATCCGTCCGTTTGGGAGTAAAAAAACGAATAGAAATAGAACTGGTCTGAATGTTGGGTTGTGCCCACAGGTATAATGGGCACAGTGTGAACTGACGGCCTCCAGATCCATTACCCCTCCCCCACCAGCAACTTTTTTTTCTTCAACTTTGAGTATCTGCCGATACCAAGTACTGATCCAATACCAGTGCCGTACAAGCAAACTCAAACTCGTGTTTTTAAAGGTAGACATGATCCCAGATGTTGCAGATGTATGAACAACTGGCACAGTGACTGAATGGATTTATGTTTAATGTCAACTACAAAGAAACTGTATTTAATGTGTATCAGTTATTGCTTTGCTTTTTCTAATAAACACTGGTATGAAAGTCAAGTGCCTCACTTTCATTTCCTTCATAACAAGCGTATGTTTTTTCACATGACGTTTACAGCACCCATTCAATTCTGGCTATTATCTAAGCTGCCGGCGAGGGAGAGTGTAAATAGACACGTATTTACTCTGTTGGGTAATTTAACTTGTGGTTGAAAATAACTAAAGAGTGCTTTTAAATCAATAAATATTGTACAGTAAAGCACAAGTATCAAAAATATTGTACTTAGGTAAAAACACTTAAGTAAATGTACTAAGTGACATTCCACCACTGCCTGTTCCACAAGAATGCCTCTTTTTTCTTGCAACATATGGCAGGTACAGTAAGTGCTCACCTCCTAAAATGCTTGTTAGAGAAACTCCCTGAAGGTAAAAGGGATATGCAATGTTTGGTGACAATTTTAAACAGAAAGCACCATTACACTAAAAGGGAAAAGGTAAGCAGGACGTCGTGTTTAAAGGACGCCATCAATTTTCTCTAGATCTCATTACACAAGCTTAATCACTATTGCCATGATTTTAGTGGTTAAATAAATGGTTTAGTGTGTTATAAATGAACACATCATCTATTTGTTACCAACACATCCGTAAATATCCTGTAATTTGTACTAATTTTGGTCAGTTTTAAATGGAGAATGGACTACTTTTACTCAAACAAAACAGTCTGTGTCCACATTAGTGAGTGACAAGGCAGCTAGCTTTGGTCATATTTGTTGACAGTAGCCTCCATCTACATAGCCAGTTCCGGGCTCGTGTTACACGTAAAAATCAAAGCAAGCATATATGAACAACATACTGTTAGTTGCAGTTTCACACTCTTAATAAAACACATATAAACCAAGTGTTTTTCTTACCTTTCTGCTACTGTAGTCGTTGCTGGCTTGTTCTCGGTGTGGCGTCGGTTTGTGTTTACTGTGCACTCTGGTGTAGCGGAGGTAGCTGCCCGCAGAGCCCAGAGACTCAGTGCTGCCCCCGCAGGACAGGAGGAGAACGACAGGCTGGAAATAAACAGACAACTGTTGAGCCTTCACCTGTCACTGCAACACTTGTTACATGGTTTTAAAAAGTCCCCGCCAAAAACCATGTAGTTAAATACCCTGGCTGCACTGTGTGACACTGACACTGAGTTTTGCCTGCACTTCGATTCTGGTAAGCCTTTGGTAAGTACTTTTACTTCACTTGAGTATTTTCTTAAGGTACTAAATACTTGTACTCCACTACAATTTGGAAGCCAACATTGTACTGTTTACGCCACTACATTTCTATGACAAAATTATTCTAAAGTGGGACGTTACGCACAGTAAGTACTATTTTTTTGATGCCAATACTTATGTACTTATAATTTAGTAAGATGCAAAATGCAAGACTTTTACTTGTATTTTTACAGTGTAGTAGGCTATTTATACTTAAGTTGAATATCTGAGTACTTCTAACACCACCACTGTTAATAATCGAATTAACAGTTAACGAGTTTAACACATCTTAAAAGATGTCAACAAATATAAGTCCATGTCAAAAATAAATAAATGGTGTAGACAAAACTTACATAACTCGCAAAAACACAAAGTAGCCTATTTAGTTGTTTGCTTTATACTGAAAAGTAAATATAAATCAGTGCCTCTGTAATATATGATTTAAAGCTTACCTCTTAGAGTTAATTTATATTTAAAAAGAACACTTCCTGGTAGTTGGATTTTCATTGGCATTGCCATTTTAAGAGACTTGCTGTTTTCAAATCCCTTGGAACTCTCTTCTGCCCGGGGGCAAAGAGGGTGGGCTGACATGCTACAGCTGCACCAGCAACTGTGGCTCAGAAGCAGTTGTGATGTGAATTCCAAAGAACCGCGGATTTGGAGGGAAATTAAAGGGGCCCTATTATGGTCATTTTCAGGGTTCATATTTGTATGTAGTGTCTCTACAGTGACATGTTTCCATGCTTTAAAGGTGGGGTAGGTAATTTTGGAGAAACCAGCTCGAGTGCGCTAGAATTTGAAAATACACAAGCCGTTTCTCAATCGCGAGTACACATGCTGCAGAGCAAGTATACTACGTCATAGAGTGGCGCAGAATGCTGGGCATTTAACCATAGACTGTATATATGCATTTAACACACATTTAACATGCATTTAAACAGTCCTTCGGCGCCACTCGATGACGTAGTATACTTGAAATAGTTGCTCTGCAGCAGTTTTACTTGCGATTGAGAAACGGCCACAACCAGAACAAATCTGCCACTTCCTTACAGAGCCCCTCCTCCAACACACACACACGAACGCGCACATGACCAATGAGGGCATGAGATAAGTTTGTGCACAGATGGAAGGCTGACAGGCAGGTAGCCATCCAGTTATTTTAGCCGGGCCGGCTAAAATGATTGGTCGTGCTTTTTACAGTACTACGGCTTCCACAGATGACATTTAATGGATTTTTTGTCAAAGCACTTGAGATATTCATTGCTATCGGGATGTTAAGAGCATTCCATGGAATATAACAAAAAGTGTATCTCCAGCCCGGTTTCTCAAACTTACCTACCCCACCTTTAATGTTCAAAAAGGTCTTTATTTTTCTCATAATGCCTGTGCTGCAGCACCTCTTTTCACCCTCTGTCTGAAACCAGAGCCCAGTCTGCTCTGATTGGTTAGGTCAACAGCTTAGAGATGACTCTCCCCTCAGCCTATCACGTACAATGTGATGGAGAGCTAGACGATAGAAGCGCGAGTGTTTCGCAGTGATGTCACGATGTCAAGAAAGTAAACAAAGGACTACATTCGATGAGTTTCAGCATAATACGGCCTCTTTAATGTTATACAATGACGTGTGTTACTTGTGTAAGTTATTCCTCTGCAGTTAGTAGGCAACATTAAAGTTATAAAGTAGTTAAAAGTAAGAGTATTAAGAGACATTCATTCATTCTACATAGCTTGTTCATAATGTCAGCTGTGAGAGGGACCACCAGCAGATAGAAATACATAAAAAGAGAGGGAGCAAGAGGGAGGGAGAGTTAGGGAGGAAGTCATATCCAGTGTGTGTGGAGAGAGAGTGAATGAAAGTTGAAGATTGGGAAAGATACAGGGAGAGAAGCTTGTGACGACTCACTTCAAACCTTAAATCAAGTTAGCTTTGGAGATTATACCAATGGATACCTTGAATTCACCAGCATTATGCTTAAGAAAACACATGGAAACTATACGACGGAAAGAGGTAAGAAGCGGATTTCATTTAGTGAGTTAAATATACAAAATACAGGCTGTTTGAGACTTTAGTTCAATCATATATGTTCTGCTCTGTCGCTTTATGAACTGTAAAACCAAAATTGGTGGGGGAAAGCAATTAGTTTTGGAAGGGATCATGCCATATGTATTTTGTAGAAAAACGTATGTCATTTTGATTAACTATGCAGCTCTGGATGGCTTGCTATCTTTATCACACAGTAACAGTGCGTCTGAATGTATTTCCCAGCTTATCAGCTACGTCTTTAAGGGCTTCATGCTGTCGCTCACTGTTATTTGGATTACATATCAACTAAACAAATGATGACAACGGCCCCAGAGCTGGGAAATTACAAAGCGCTATCTTAGAGGCCACTGAACTTTGAAACATGGGCCTTTAGAGATGTGAAAGTATGAGAGTCAAGATGAGAGGAGGGAAAGCAGGGCAAAGGTTAGTGTCCTGTGAGTAGAACGCAGCAGAAGAAGTAACAATACAGTCATTCAAGAAAAGCTATAGAGAAGAGTGATTGAATCAGGCAAAAGCTCCCCAATGACTATTGAGATGCTGGTTTTTGGTGATGACCTTCTCAAGGGAGTTGCACTGGCTGTCATGTTTTTCCTTGAGTCTGCCCAGCTGGCCCCAGAATTTCATACATATCAGATGGGGATGAATGGTCGCACGGCCTAAAATGTCGTATTTATATCATGCTGAAACACAGTGTGGGAGAGAAAACGATCAAGTGGGCACAGAGACTCATGAAAAAAGCCTCCGGATGAAGTCAATTGATTGGCTAAACTTTTTTTTTTCTTTTTCTGTCTCAGGTGTTGAGCAATCATGGCGGCCTCTAAGAGAATGACCATCACTCCGGACAACATATACGCCACTGTCAACAGGTTTGTAACGCATTCCCTTTTTGGCCTCACAAATTCCTCATTAGAAATAAGTAAAAAATGCTTTACGTTGCCCTTTACTCATCACATCCCCTAAAAAAAAGAGGTCATTCATCTTAGGGCTTCCCATTTCCTCCTGTTTATTTAATTAAACATTACAGTTTGATGAAATGGGCTCCGGTCCAAGTATGTGTTTATTTAGCGAGGCCGATGAGAAGGAGATGCTCGGTCATAGGCTTGTCCTCTGGCATTTTACTCTCAGGCTGTATTTTCCCACTGTCGCCAGAAAAAGACTTAGTGTCCCCTAACAGGCAGTGACCGTACTCAGAAGTTCAGGAAACTCAATGAAAGTCAGTTATTTTGCCTTTTGTAGCATAGTATTGTATTTTTTGATTGAATTTAGGTAATCAGTGATTCAATTATCATTTTGAAATCTGTGTTTTACTGAAGAATGCTGTAAAACTGTGGTTCAAACTGCTCCTGTGTGTGTGTTTAGGTTAAAGAAGAGCCGTGCTGGTGAGTTCCATTTTGCTTCAGGGGACAACAACAACGTTGGACAAAGAAGAGAGAGGGCACACAAACTTCCCTTCACCCCGTTGGAAAACCAGAGGGAAGAATCACCCATGATGGCGCACAGGAGGCCGAGCTTCGACCCTCACAATGAGAACACTCTCCTGGTAGGCAACAAGCTCCCCAGATCCAATGGAGGCAAAATTAAGGACAAGATTTCTTTATGGGAGGGGAAGGAACCCACTCATTCACCCATTACCTCAGGTTCTTTGGGCCAATGCCACAGCATAACAAGGACAGAATCCCTTACAAAGAATGGTAACAACTCTGATGGATTGAGTGAAGAGAGTTGCAAGAGAGTAGCCCAAAAAGAAAAGGAAAATCTTGGTAAAGAGAATGTAGGCAAACTTGGGGATTCAAGGCCTTGTTCACCTGTTGAAACTGGGAAACAGCAAAGAGGGACGCTCAAGAACAGCAAGCACAGTGAGAGCAAAAAAGGGGGGGATTGCGGCAGAATAGATCACGAGAAAGAGAACGTAGAAAAGCTTAGGGATTCAAGGCCTTGTTCGCCTTCAATAGCAGTGCAGCAGCAGATGGGGACGCTGAAGAAAAGCAATGAAAGGAAAACAGCAGAACAGGCCAACCAGGAGAAGAGAGCTGTGTTCACCCTTTTTAAAAACCTGGATGCAATGGGGGAGAACCATGGGAAAAGTCCTCCAGAGCTTGGGAACTACTTCAGCCCACCTTGCAAGGACAAACAGGTAGTTATGGGTGAAACTGGTTCAGTGAAAGAGACACAGCACCAGGAGAATGTGTACACAGAGCCGGGGTCGCCCCCTATCAACCCGGTGCCCAAACCCCAACGGACCTTTGAGCATCCAACTATCGTCGCCATCGGGAAAAGTCAGAGTAAGGGCAGAGAGCAGAGGAATCTCCCCCCACTGCCCTCCACCTTGCCACCCACCTCTACAAAAACGTCCTCAAAACCTCCCTCTGGTGTCTATGGGAGACCCTGGGGTGCGAGAGTCAGAGACAACATCAAAAGGTATAAATGAAACAACAATAGTTGGTCACAGCTTAACCAACATCAAATACAATGTTAGTCCTGGTGTTGTACTACGCAAAACAATACAGCATATTACAGCAGAAGGTAGACAATGTTGAACAAATTAATACAACGTAGAAAGCTCATATACTGTACACTCTTTTGCATTTTTTTGTTCACCATGACAGGAAATCCTTTGAGTTTGAAGACCTCAAAAGGTCAACTAGCCCGCTTTTCTCTCGCCTACCAGAACATCACTATGAAGACATCCCAGGTCAGAAACTCTAATATCCATCAGTGATCTTCCTTTTTTGAATAAATAGTTTGAAATG